TTACTTGAGATGAGGAAACAGATGCTCGCCATCACCAACCAGCGCCCACTCACGGCCATCGCTCTCTTGGCGATAGCCTCCCCTGAACTCTAAGTTACTTAATATCAATCAAAAGTCTAAAGGCAAAAAGGTTTTTTTGATTAAGTCTTCTAGGGTTTATATAACCTCTCTTTGCTGATTCTTCGAGTTCCGGGTATGTTGGCCTGCCCATTCTGACGTGATTTTGGCCCCCCTCATTGGTTGCCCATCGAGAAGGGGTTGACTCTTTCGGGTCTACCGCCTCCTCTGACTCAGCGTTTTCCTCCTGCCATAGTGTTTATGACCCACTTCATATAGCTCCTTCCTCAATGTCAGCGCCATTGCACTGCCGGGTTAGCATTCTAATGACTCAGGCATTCCCTGTTACAGTTCTTTGTAGACCTAAGCTTCCTGGTTCGTTTCATCATGGCTATTTCTTAATCTTACAGTCTAGCTACTATTATTCCAATTTTACCCCCAAAAAACTATATCTACAAGTACGTGACCTTTGCGCCATTACAATCAGAAACAATTGTTAAGCTGGGAGTGCACAGTCTGTACTTAGACCTGTCCACTATCAACTGAATGCGCAGTGCATTTGGTCGAGTCCGCTAACTGAGATAAGGGATGTTGGGGTGTGTATGGGTTTCAAAATGCCACTAGTTTCAGTGCGCTGCTTCTCCTAGTTTCCGAAATGCGGCTGCAACTACTGCACCGTCTCGCCTCTCCACTTCTTGGCGCATTCGTCACGCGCATGTCTGAGGCAAGGACTAAGAGCGCAGCCTGTACTGTGCTGACCGGTATCTTTCTGTCCCTCTGTACATTTAAACACTGTTAGCCCCGATGCTACGATTTGTATAAACTTGTAATTTACATACCATCAGTGCACAGAATGGGCAGTAGTTTCATTCCAGGATGATTTATCATCCGCGGGAGCTTTCGTTTTGGAACTTGCCCCACGGCGGTGTCCATGAGTCGTGAGGGGGTGGACACTCTCAGTGTGCATGGATTGATGTGCCGAATTCAGTGTTCCGATGTGCTTATGGCCCCTTTGTTTGTTTATGTGATTTAACTTGGCTAATGCCTTGTACAAGATGGATGTTTAGTGAGCGGCGAATTTGAAAGGCGTCGCGCGGTCTGGCTCCAGGGAATACCCCCCCCCCAAATGATAGGCTGTAAGTGGGCAGAGAAATGAACACGATAGGCCAGCCTTTCAACTATTTTATATCCGTGTTATATTTACTTAATTACAGTTTATTTGACATCATTTTCGGCATTTCATGCAGTATATCAGGAATGGATAAACTTATTGATTGTTGGAGCCGCATATGGCAATTTTCATACTGTTACATGTAGGGGCTTTACGCGTGACTGATAAGACGGATTTTGGATTGGATGATTGGATTTATTGGCACCTTATTCACACAACTTTGAACTACAGGAAATTACAGCGCTATCGCTGATCTACACACTTTACAGTTCACCGTTATACACACATTAGAGTTCTCCGTCTTCACTAGTCGTACCCTGGCAACGGAGTTATGAAGGAAAGATGAAGAAAGTCCTGTCAAGATACTCGGATTCAGCAGACGCGCATGCGCATGTTCAGAGGCTGGTTTCAGCAGTCAAAATGGCGACGATGCTTGAGTGTAATACCGAAGAGCAACGTTCTGTTGTGCGCAAAATGACTTAATGCAAAGGATGTTCATAAAGAAATGTCTCCTGTTTATTTCGGCTGGAGTTTGTCGAGTAAAGTGATTCACAGCTGGACAGAGAAGTTCTCTCAGTAATGACGCCCGACCAGGTGTGGAAGTCGCTGAGACAACAGACACAAGACGTCTGTGCTGCGGGCTTCAGCGCACTGATAAAGCGATGGGACATGTGTATCAAAGTGGATGCAGGACATGTCGAGAAGTAGATTTTTTCCAGGTTTGAATATCATATTGTGACGTGTTAGATAGCCGTTGCTCGGCGACGGACGTAAGGTAACGCGTGACAATATGTTTTACACTTTATACCCATATGTGTTCTAGTTGCTAGCTCTTCCTCCTTTTTCCTTGGCACTACAGCCCCAGTGAGCCTAGGCCTGCCTCCATGAACTTCTCCGTTCACTTCGGTTTTTCTAGATCTTACACATTCGGTAGTACTCCTTGGGCGGGTGATCAGCTCGTCGCAAGGCCTCTAAGCTCTTCCTCTTACTATCACCATATTTATCTTGAGGGATTGAGAAAAACTGTGGGAGATTGAATTCACTCTAGCCGGTATCCCAGCCGAGATCCAAACCGAACACTGCAGCATAGAAGTCCAGAGAGTTGCCACTTCACCAGCCTGCTCGGTAATAATTGTAACACTTCGTGGATCACGTGACATGTGACTAGAAGTTTCATGCTTTGAAGGAAACGCTGTGGGTAATGATGACAGACAGGTGCTGCCGTTTTCTCGGGTTTATCTCGAACATCGCGAGATGAAGGCAGCCAACCGTGTCGCCCCCCCCCCAACCTACCTACCGCGGAGAGTCAGTAGCATTGCGACTCGTTAAACATGGAATCGAAGAAGGCAGCGAATGATTGGCAGCTTGTCGCGTCGAGAGAGACGGAACTAGGAGACTGCGATGGTGTGAGACGTTCCCCGTCCCATTTGCATATACACGTATTTTAATATCGTGATAATTCTTCGTGTCTGAATCATAATTAGACATGAAATAACAGTAATTTTAAATTAAAATGAAGAAATTCCTTGAAAGAAACTGATATAATTTAATGTTAAGCTAAATTATATTTATTATCAGCAAATAAAACAAGCGGAGGGTCAGATTAATCCCATCCCCTTCCTCATCTGAAGAGTATTAACTTCTGGGATGTGACGCCGTATGGGCAGAGAGCAGCTGACGGATGTTTCGGAGCAAATATTGCCTCCATATTCAGGGTTAAAGAGTAAGCGAAACAAGTAACCAGTAACATCTAGCAGACGAGCTTCGGTGAACTTATATCTGAGTACACGGCATCATATCCCAGAAAGTAATAGGTCTGTAATTTTGAAAATCACCGTTTTGAGAAATTCCAGTCTGACAAATTTTAATACTGTTTAGGATTTTAAGTCCTCACACCGGTGGTTATGAAGAATTCTGTCTTCTGCGATATAATACCGTGTATTTCGTTGAAAGTCAACAGACGTTTCGGAGCAACATGTCCCCCTTTACCTCCAGGACGATTGCTGGTGCTCATTTCTGTTAATAGCGCGGCTGGAAGGATTAAGTTAATTGAAAAATCCAACATCATCGGGAATATAAAAGCGCGATCTTCCGGCTTGTAGCATAGCGCCTTAACCAACTTCGATTGCTGTATAAATATCGGTCTAATACGTTTTCATGTCTGCAAGTGTTTTACTTCGAAACGCCTGACAGTACTATCTAAGTTCTAATTTCTGTTTGTATGCAGCGTTATACTATATTTATATCGGTAACACAGTGCTCCAATAGAGCGGTGCTCGTTCTTGTGGCACGTATTTATTCTCCCGGTAGGTGTATCTGCCAGCAGCAGTGTCTCTGTCGTCATGTATCGTCAATTTAGTAAACATTTATTTAGAAGAACTTCTTGAGATACTTTTCTCATTTCTTTAATAATGTATTACGGCATGTAGACCCGTTGCTAGGCAACGACCGCGAAATAAGCAACTTGGTAAGTAATGGCTCGTAAAGAGGAACAGAGGAATGATGTTTTCTTCGCAGTCCGTGCCGATGACTGCACATGCAACAATAGAATACGTCATGTAACCATGTATAACTATAATTAATTCATATATTCCAGCATCATAAAAATAAATCCGATCATATGCTCTACCTATACCAGAAGGACAAACGGGCACTGCCTGGGAACCTTCAAAATCGGAGATATAGTTTCTTACTCCTCCTTAATGTAGTGTCTCTCACTACCACCCCCCATTTCTTCTTCTTCTTCTTCTTCTTCTATAGTCATGCCACCGCCAAGTCACAATCGCACTGCAACACAACAATGTTTTCTAAGCGGTTCGTGCTGAGATGTTATAAGTAAGACGGTGAGAAGTTAGTCAGTGAAGAGCTGATAGTTCAGTTACTGAGTTACGTGTAGATAAGCGCTGCAGTCAGCTGTTGTGAGTTGTCGGTCTTAGAAGCCGGTAGTTGGGGCACGGGGACAGTTCCAGAACCCAGAGGAAGGGGAACTCCCGCCGTTGGAGTCCGTACACCATCAATGTTTTGTGCAAAGTAGCAAAGACGTTTCGGGGAAA